GGTGAAAGACGTTCAGGAGTGCAAAAGGGACACGATGGCTGAGAAGAATGGCCGGGGAGGGGGGCGGCCCGGCGGGGCCGCTTTCGGCGGGCGGCGGAGGCGCGGTCGCAGCGCTCCGCGGGCCGGGGGCAGCGAGCGGGGGCGGGCGAGCGCCGTCGGAAGGGGGCTGCACCCCCCCGAGCCCGCGCACGCGCCTCTCCAGGCGGCGGAAGCGACGGCGGGCCGGAAAATCCCGGTGGGGCAGCGGCGCTGCCCGCCCTCTGTGCCGCCAACTTTGCAAGGTAAGACCGCCCGCCCCGCCCCGTCCCGCCGCCCTCCGGTGTCTGTAAACTTCTCTCTGGCTTCGCAGGTCCGTGCTGGAGAGTGGGAGAAAGGTCCCTGCTGGTTGCCGTGTCCTCGGTGGGCAGAGAGCTCTGACCTTGCCTTGCATGGGCTGCTGAGGATTGGATCCATGGGGATGTGCTTTGATGCATTTAGTGACCTTTACAGATTTCTTTCCCCGCTTTTTTCAGTTCACAGACTCATGGAATAATTCTGGTTGGAAGGGGCTCTAAAGATCACCTCATTCCAAGGCTGCTGCCGCCGTGGGCAGGGACGTGCTTCCATAGAGCAGCTTGCTCAGAGCCTCATCCCAGAGCACCGACGGGCCTTGAACACTTGCAGCGATGGGGCAGCCCCAGGACCTCTGAGCAACCTGTGCCCTGTGCCAGCCAGGTGCCAGAGGAGGAAGGAAGCCCTTCCCACCTGGAGCAGAGGCTGCTGCAGCTTGGCGTAGCCTTGTGTCACCGAGCGTGTGAGACAGAAAGGCCCTTCCTTTCTGGAGGAGTAACAACACTCAAAGCTCTTTCTCGGGACAAGCAGAGCAATGGAAGGCCAAAGTAGCCTTCAGTTCTTCCAGCAGCTTTGGGAACAACTTGAAGGAGGAGCAGAGCTGGCCTGGTGCCTGCCGGCTCTGCAGGCAGTGGGCATGGAGAAGCTGCAATTATCTGTCTTCTTGGCTGTAGTTCCTTTTCAGGCATGACGTGCAAGTTGCCCCTAGAAGTCCAAAGGCAGCTGTTTTCTTAGCAGAAGGAAGTCAGGAGGAGGCAAAGCCATCAGGTAAGTCTGGATAAAAAACTTGGCTAACCTCTTTTCCCCCCCTCCTCCAAACAGGCAACTGTGAAGCACTCAGCAGAGATCTGCGCGGGAGGAAAAGCAGAGCCAATCTCTGAGAAGAAGGGACGTGCGAGCTCTGGTGAGGACGGCTGCTCCCCCGGCCTTGGTGTGGGACCTCCTGAGCTGCCATTCCTGTAGTGGGAGTGTTTCTCCTCTCCTCCAGCCAAGCCAGAGACCGCCTAGGGAAGGAGCAGGTAAGGTTGAAGCACTGAGATCTCCCAGGTAAGAAGTGACACGGCAAAAGGAAATGGCCTCAACTTGCAGCAGGGAAGGCTTAGATTGGATTGGAGGGAAAATTTCTTCACTGAAAGGGTGGTCAGGCATAGGAGCAGGCTGCCCAGGGAAGTCCCCATGCCTGGAGACATGTCAAGGATGTCAAGATGTGGTGTTTAGGGACCTGATTTGGGGGGGCAGCAGCTGGGCTCGATGTCCTTAGAAGGCTTTTCCAACCACAAGGATCCTATGGTTCTGGAAAGCCTTGACCCCTCTGGCTCTAGCACAGCACCTGGATGCTGACAAAATGAGGCTGGTCATAGAGCCTGGAGGTCCCTGTGCCACAGGGAGAGGACAAGCCGGTGTCACCTGCAGGGAGGGTCTCGTCCCCAGAGAGCAGTCAGTGACTCCGTCCCTGCCCGGGGCTCTGGGTGCACCCTCGGGGGGGGGGACACACACCTGCCCTCCTTGCTGCTCTCATCCTTATCCCATATGGATTTAGCAGCAATCTTCTGTCTTTGCTTTCAAACTGTCCTTGGGAGAGTTCCAAGAGAGGGTCATTACTTATTTCAAAGCCTACATCTTTTACCTATTGGCACTGAAGAGAAAAGACACAAACCTGCTTTGCATCCTTCTGCCTGGAAGTCCTTGTGACACGGGGAAGGGAGGAAGGGGCTGGCCGGGGTCAGCCTCTGCTGAGCCTCAGCTCTTGCTGCTCCTGCTCACAGGGTAAACCCAAAAGCTGTCGTGATCAAAAACGCAGGCGCCCTTCTGACCTGAGTCACAGGGGCCGTTTCTTCTGAATGACTCAAGATGGGAAATCATTCTTGGAGCTTCAGAAGAAAAAAAACCCCAGAACCGTAGGTACGTTTGTAAGAGTGTGTATGTACGTACATTTCCTTCGATGAAGAAGAAAATCTTAGAAATATCATGTCACGTCTGGCTTCCTAGAGAAGATCCTGAACTCTGGGCTTCTGAAAGCAAATGGCTGTGCATTTATAGGAGCGTTTCCCTTCTTTTTATGTGCCTCCCCCAGTAATCTTCTACCCTTGCCCACGGCAAGGAGAGTGCGGTGATTTGGCTGCTCCGCTCTGCCGAGGTTGTTGCAGGCTGTGTAGCAGGGAGTGAGGCCTTTGTGGCTGCTCATCAGACATTTTCCTACAGCATTCTCTCTGCAATGGTAAAATTAGACTTGTGTTAGTGAGCAGTCAAGTAGAGCAGGTAACATTAGAAAAGAATTGTTTCTGAGCTGCTGTTCACTAGCACGTGTTTCCCCTTTCCGGCAGAGCGCGCATCATTGCGGGCTCGGGATCGATTGAAATGCGCTAAGGAAACCAGCTCTGGGGAGGGAGGGAGGGAGGGAGGGAGGGAAATGCTCTCTTAACATGTGCCAATTCTTCTGTCAAACTGATCAGGGCAGGACAGCGTTCAGACTGAAAGTGTAAGAAGATGTGGAGGGAGACAGAGAATCTGACAGGAGCACCGGACTCACAAGTGCACGAATTTTGCTTTTGGCTTGGATTGAAACTCAGAAGTTGTAAGGAATTTGGGAAGGAGAAGGGACATTTCAGAAGGAGAAGAAGAAAAACAAATGGTTGTTGTTACAGCCCTGGCAAAATCTTTGGTTCAAGCGAATAAAGGAAGTTAGTTGAAATAAAAAAAAGAAAGAAACGTGGGTTTTTTCCCTCGCTGTTGTATTCGTTGGTGGTATATGGTGTCTTGTTTTATTTCTTGGTCTTATTAACTCTGTGTAAATAGGTTTTTTGAGTGAAGCTCACTTTCTGGACGGGTTGGTTTGTATTTGAGGTAGGAATAATTTCAAGAGGTTTCTTTCCTAGACTTCTGATAGGTATTCCTGGGATTTTGGTTTTTTGTTTACTGTATGTATCAACAGAGAGATTTGGTAGGGCCAGCTGGGCTGCTGGAGTTTTGGGTGTTAATTTATTAGATGGCTTTTGTTAAACACAGAATAATTATGTAAGTTAACAGCAAATTACCCAATTTATCGTATGCTACCTAAACACAATGCTTTATGTCTTACCATTTTTCTGTTGTTCTGCTCCAAGTAGTTGTGTCAAAAGAGAAAGCTCCGTTATTTTTCTGAAGAGCTTTCTTCTATAACAAGGCCTTTACCCCCTTTGAATTTGAGTCAGAGGAGCCAAACAGCTGCAGCCGCTCTGAGGGCTTTTATATTCGGTGGGATTCGCCCCCTCCCTTTTCCCAGGCATCATGGGAATGGGAGGCGGGCACCATCGGGGTATATTAACCCCAGCCTTTGCTGAGGGGTTTCATTCCCTCTCTGGGATGTGTGGGGGTAAGGGCTCTCCTGTCATTTCAGTGAAGAGCCTCTTTCAGCTTATCTCAGCTTGCTTTCAGCAGGTGTTTCTGGGCATCTAAAGGAATAGAGGCTTGGGAGATCCTGTGAAGAAAATGGCATGGAATACAGGGAGTATTTTAGTTGACGATTTTGGGTTTTGTGTTTAGGGGTGGTAAAGCGCATTTGCAATTTCTGGTTTTGTTCTTGTTTTGTGTTTTTATTGTTTTTAGGAGGTGCACAGCTTCCAGAGATCCCAGGTTGTGTCAAGCACAGCACTTCTTTCAGCAGATTCATCATGTCACAGCAGGCATCTGCCCAGTGTCAAAAATGATGTTTGAGATGGAGGCTTCAGGTGAGTTGAGGGTTGTGACTGGGAGAGGGAGGGTGAGCAGGTGTCCAGTTAGGAGTTATTGGGGGGCAGGGGGGTTTGCAGGCAGCAGGGTGAGAAAGGGTGTTTATTTGAGGGCCCGCCCACACAGGGCTTTTCAGAAGCACAGCAGAGGCATTCCCATGTCTTCCTCACACAAGGTCATCCACTGCACTCACAGGAATGCCATTTAACTTGGCCTTTCTCTAACCCAGGTGCCACTGATAATAATGCCCACAGCCTTGGAATCAGGATGAAGGTGGAGCCTGAAGGAGCCAGGCACACTCAGGAGAGGGCAAGTAGCTGACTTGCTGGGATTTGGCCCACATAACTCTGAACTCATACGTTGGTTTTGGTTTTCTTTATTGTAGCTGACCGAGAGGCTAACAGGCAATCACGGGGCCCTCCGAGGCAGACTCATTTCAGGTGCAACGTGGATTCACATCGCCCATCATCCAAAAGATAAGTCTGGGTCACGGCCTGGAGATGGGAGAGCAGCGGGTTGGGAGTTCCTGGGACAGATTGAAAAATTAGCAGAGGGAAAAGCAATCTTCTCCAAGGGGCCTCTTAGGACAGCTAAAGGGAGAGACTCCACATTTGATGGCAGCGTGCAGGCGGGCAGGGCAGAGCAGTTCCGGTCCACGTCGTGTTGTCAGGTGTACCGTGTTACCTACTGTGTCTTTGGGGTCCCTTTTGCCTTTTCCCCTCGAGGCCCTCACCACAAGCATAATGTGTCGTGTTTAACGTCCCCCCGTTTGTCACGTTCTGTGTCACGGGTGTCTGCACATGTTTGTGCCGGAGCTGCTCTGCCCTGCCGCAGAGGCTGCTGCAACAGGACAATGCTCAGGGACACGCAGTTTGTGGGGTGTCGCCGGACTCTAGATGATATTCCTAGATAGACAGAAGATGTTTGGAGCTGTGAAGATATCCTGCAGCCCTTTGACGTTTGTCCTCGCTTTCTTTCAGACGCAGAAGGATAAAATCCAGGGCAAAATCCATCCACCCATCCCGAGTGAGGAGGTTCCCCCGAGCAGGTCAGTCACCGTTTGTCTCTGCAGGGAGAGTGTCAAGTGTGACTCTGTTACAGCTCTGTTCTTTTTCTTTTTAGGAAGTAAAGCTGGACATCAGCAGTCAAGGTGAGGTGGGCAAGGTGAGCATTGAGTAGCGTACAGGAGCAGTTGTTATTGCTCCAGTCTCTCTTTGCGGTGCAGCTCTAAGCATCCGTTCCTGTTTCTGCGCTTCAGGCAATCCACTCGGAGTAGGCCAAGCCCCAGTCACCAACCGGCCGACGCGCCGGGTTTGCCGCTCTCCCGAGCCCTGGGGAAGAATCCCGGGACTCGGCGATGAAGCCTCTGCCTTTTCTGTTTAAAGGTGTCACCAGGGTAGCCTTCAGCAATGGCCGAGGAGTTGCGGTGAGTCAGGGAAGTAGGGAGGAGGAGCGAGGCTCCGCTCAGGTTTCAGCAGCGCCACATCCCCTCGTCTCCTCTTAGCCCAGGCGTGCCCCACGACGATGGCGTCAGCCTCCGAGTGCGGCTGAAGCGTGCGGCCCCAGGAGCCGGGCATTCTTGGGAAAAGAGTGAGTGGCAGAATTGTTGGGTTTTGGCCAATGTGCTGCTGAGGTTATGCATTGATATTTTGTTTTCTTTATTGGAGCAGACGAAGAAACAACAGGAAGTTGTTTAACAAGAGTGCCAGCAGGACCTTCCCAGCTGTCGAGGCAGCCTTCCCTTGCACCTGACACAGACCGGCATCCCCAGATGTCTGAGAGATAAGTAGAGGGCTACGACCCACAGAGGGGATGAAACCAGGGCGCAGGGCAGGGACCCACCGGGAGGGGTTTTTGAGTCCGCTTTGGAGATGGGGGTGTGCACGAAGCGGCCCCTTAGGCCTGGGGGGAAATAAAAGCAAAGTCTCACTTTTGATCACAGTGCTGAGGTGAGCAGGGCAGAGCAGTGCCGGTGTGTACTGTGTCATTTGTCTATTGTGTGTTCTGTGTGGTTGGATGTGTCATGTCCTTTACCTAAGGCCTTTGAGGACCCTAGCAGAAACCCTGGCATCATTGTTAGCATCTGTAATCTCTGCATTCCTTGGCCTGGTACCCAGGCCATTGAACTTTTGACTCGGGAGCTCAGACAGGCATCAGAATTGCATCTCTCTTTGGAAGCATCCAGTCAGGTGGCTTGTCAGGTCTTGTTCTGAGCTGCACGGACAGCCGTGCTCCTCAGTGCTCCATTTCAACGGATTAGGCTTTGTAAGAATGCGAGGTTAGGGAGAGGATTCTGACCGTAGGATTCTTTGCAGTTCATGGAATAAATCCTTCAGCCAGCATCTTCCTCCAGGGTTCACTGAGCCTCATCAGTTTGCCATCTGTCTCACTTCGGTCATCTCCTTTTGCATTCTCTCAGTCCATGCAGCCATTTTCCTTGCCAGGAGATTTCTGTTCCTGTTGTGTCCCCCCTGTCTGTCATGTCCTGTCTGTCCTGTGTCACGGGTGTGTGCACACATTTGTGCCGGAGCTGCTCTGCCCTGCTGCATAGCCTGGTGCCCTAGGAGAAGTCCCAGGGACATGGCGTTTGTAATGTGGGGTGTAGTTGGACTCTAGGTGGGATGTGTAGATGGACACAAGATATCTGGAGCTCTTAAATTATCCTGCAACAGTTTGAGTTTTGTCCTAACTTTTTTTTCAGATTCAGATGGATTAAATCTGTGCCAGAGGGCCCCATCCCGGGTGAGGGGTTTCCCCCGTGCAGGTGAGGCACCGTTTGTCTCTGCAGCAGAAGTGTAAATGATGCCTCTGTTACAGCGCTGTTCTTTGTCTTTCTTTTTAGGAAGTAAATGTGGATACCAGCAGTCAAGGTGAGCAGTGGAGAGAAGTAGTTGTTATTGCTCAGGTCTCAATTTCTGGTGCAGCTCTAAGCTTCCATTCTCGTGTGTGCGCTTTAGGCAATCCACTCAGAGTATGCCAAGCCCCTGTCACCAACCGGCCGATGCACCGGGTTTCCTGCATGTGTGAGCCCTGTGGATGCATTACAGGACTTGGTGATGAAGCCCTGAACTTTTCTATTTAAAGGTGCCATCCAGATGACCTCTGGCACCTGCCCAGGAGTTGCAGTGAGTCGGGGAAGTAGTGGGGAGGAGCGAGGGTCCACTCAGGTTTCAGCCATGCCAAATCACCTCATCTCCTCTGAACCCAGGCGTCCCCTGTGATGACGGCCTCGGTCTCTGAGTGTGCCCGAAGCGTGCGGCCCGAGCAGCTGAGCGTTCTTAGGAGCACGGTGAGGAGCAGACTTGTGGGGTTTTGGCCGATTTGGTGCCACGATCAGGCATTGATGTTTGGTTTTCTTTAATACAGCTGTCTAAGAGACAACGGCCCGGTGCCAGCAGGAGCTTCCCAGCTGGCGAGGTGGCCTTTCTTTGCACCTGAGACCGGCATCCCCAGATGTCTGAGAGAGAAGTAGAGGGCCACGACCCCAAGGGGGGATGAAAGCAGGGTGCTGGTTTGGGAATTACTGGGAGGGGGGGTTTGAGTCCTCTTTGGAGGTGAGGAGTGTCCATGAAGTGGCCCCTTAGGCCCCATAAAAGCCAAGTCTCACTTTTGATCCCAGTGCTGAGGTGCGCTGGGCAGAGCAGTCCCGGTGTGTATCGTGTCCCTTGTCTATTGTGCATTATGTGTTGTTTGGGTATCTCATGTCTCTTACCTTAGCCCTTTGAGGGGCCTGTCAGAAACCTTGGCATTGTTCTTATCCTCTGTGATCTCTGCATTTCTTGGCCCCGCACCCATGCCATACAACCTTTGCCTGGGGAGCTCAGACATGTATCAGAATTGCATCTCTCTTTGGAAGCATCCAGTCAGATGTCTTTTCAGGTCTTGTTCTGAGCTGTACGGACAGCTATGCCCTGCCAGGATCCATTATGGCAGATTAGGGCTTGAAACAATGTGAGGAGGTAGAGGCTTCTGACCGGTCTGATTCTCGGGCATCCATCTTTGCAGTTCTTGGAATAAATCATTCAGTTAGCATCTTGTTCCTTCAGTGTTTTCTGAGCCACATCAGCTTGCCATCAGTCTCGCCTCAGTCATCTCATTTGGCATGCTCTCGTTGCTCGCAGTTATCCTTTTTGCCAAGAGATTTCTGTCTGTGTTGTGTGCCCATTGTTTGTCCTGTGTCACAGGTGTCTGCACATATTTGTGCCGGAGCTGCTCTGCCCTGCTGCATAGCCTGGTGTAATAGGACAAGCCCTGGGGAGTTGAAATTTTTCATGTGGGGTGTACTTGGACTCTAGATGCTGTTCCTAGATTGATATAAGGTGTTTGCAGCTTTTGAGTCATCCTGCAGGTGTTTGACATATGTTCTAACTCTCTTGCAGGTGCAGATGCATTGCATCCATGGCAGAGCACCCCATCCTGGGTGAGGGGGTTCCCCTGAGCAGGTCCGTCACCATTTGTCTGTGCAGGGGATGTGTCAAGTGTGGCCCTGTTACAGCGCTGTTCTTTGTCCTTATTTTTAGGAAGTATAGCAGGATCTCAGCAGTCAAGTTCAAGAGGGTAAGGTGAGCAGTAGCCTTTCTTGTTGCTGAGGTCTCAATTCCTGGGGCAAGTCTAAGTCTCCATTCTCATTTTTGTGCCTTAGGCCATCTGCTCGGAGCATGCCAAGCTCCCATCCCCAACGGGCCGCCGGACCGGGTTTGCCGCTCTCGCGAGCCCCACGTTCCGGGCAGCCGTCAGGAACCGCCGAGGAGTTGCGGTGAGTCAGGGAAGTAGGGAGGAGGAGCGAGGGTCCACTCAGGTTTCAGCAATGCCACGTCACCTCCTGTCCACTTAACCCAGGCGCACCCCACGACGATGGCATCGGCCTCCGAGCGCAGCCGGAGCGTGCGACCCGAAGAGCCGGGCCTTCTTAGGAGAAGGGTGAGTAGCAGACTTGTGGGGTTTTGGCCAATGTGGTGCCACAATCAGGCATTGATGTTTGGTTTCCTTTGATATAGCTGTCTAAGAGACACCAGCCTGGTGCCAGCAGGACCTTCCCAGCTGGCGAGGCGGCCTTCCTTCGCACCTGACATGGACTGGCATCGCCAGATGTCCCAGAGATAAGTCGAGGGCTACGACCCACAGAGGGGATGAAAGCAGGGTGCTGGGTTGGGGCTCCTGGCGGGGGGGGTGGGTTTGAGTTGGCTCTGGAGATGAGGGTAGCCAAGATGTGGCTCCTTAGGCCACGTAAAAGGAAAGTCTCACTTTTGATCCCAGTGCTGAGGTGCGCAGGGCAGAGCAGTCCTGGTGTGTATCGTGTCCCTTGTCTTTTGTGTATTATGTGATATTTGGGTATCTCATGTCTCTTATCTTAGCCCTGTGAAGGGCCTGTCAGAAACCTTGGTGCCATTCTTAGAATCTGTGATCTCAGTGTTCCTCAGCCTGGCAGCCATGCCATGGAACCTTTGACTCGGGAGCTCCGACAGGCATCAGAATTGCATCTCTCTTTGGAAGCATCCAGTCAGGTGGCTTTTCAGGTCTTGTTCTGAGCTGCACGGACAGCCGTGCTCCTCAATGCTCCATTTCAATGGATTAGGCTTTGTAAGAATGCGAGGTTAGGGAGAGGATTCTGACCGTAGGATTCTTTGCAGTTCTTGGGATAAATCCTTCAGCCAGCATCTTCCTCCAGGGTTCTCTGAGCCTCATCAGTTTGCCATCTGTCTCACCTCGGTCATCTCCTTTTGCATTCTCTCAGTCCTTGCAGCCACTTTGCTTGCCAGGAGATTTCTGTTCCTGTTGTGTCCCCCTGTCTGTCACGTCCTGTCCCGTGTCACGGGTGTCAGCACACACATTTGTGCCGGAGCTGCTCTGCCCTGCCACATAGCCTGGTGCAGTAGGAGAAGTCCCTGGGAGTTTGTAATGTGAGGTGTAGTGGGACTCTAGATGGGATTTGTAGATGGACACAAGACGTCTGGAGCTCCTAAGTTATCCTGCAACAGTTTGAGTCTTGTCCTAACTTTTTTTTCAGATTCGGATGGATTAAATCTGTGCCACAGGGCCTGTCATGGTTTGACACTGGCACAATGCCTGTGCCCCCATGAAGATACCCTCTCCCTGGTAGCTGCTGGGAGATGTGACCAGGAATAAGCAAAGCAGGCTCCTACTTAGAGAAGAAAGAAAACAAAACTTTATTAACTACAGATAAAAAGGAACACACACACAGGGAAAATGAAAACCTTACAAATGCGTTTCCTCCTCCCCCCCACCAAATTCCTAACACAATACATCTATTCCTCAAATCACCAACTCTTAGTCCAGCACCACCCTTCAGACAATCAATCCTCAGTTCATCAAGAGGAGAGGAGTCCTTCTTGTACCATGGGCTTCCCCTGGAAACACAGCTGAAGCCTCATGTGTTTCCGCGTCACTCGTGGCACTGCCTGGAGTGCATCTGCCGTTGTGGCCTCTTCCTTTTCATGTCCACTGCTCTCACCACTGAACATGGACCAGAGCTGCTTCTAGGGTTGTCTTTTTTAAGGATGCTCTGTCCCGATCCAAAAAAGGCACAAGTCTCTCCTTTGGGACCCCTGTCCCCACAATCTCTCCTTTGGGCCACCTGTCCCCCCCATATTTTTTCACCCCCTGGGGCCGAGGGGCACCAACACTGAACCCTCTTGGTTCTGTGGCCATTACCTCCCCCTAGAATGCAGTCTCTGTGTCACAAGGAACATGGGTCTGTCCATGGCTGTACAAAAAGAGTCCAGCAAAAGCCACTCTTCCCACTAGGATTCTTCTCTACTCTTCCACTATTTCTCACTCGCCCAGACCTCTGTCAGGCTTGCACGTTCCTT